AAGGGAAGGTCCTTCCTAACTCCTATCGACACTGGCCTCAATACCAAAAATGTTGTTTCATATAACAATCTAAATCTATTGAATAAATCTAAATCTAAATCTATTGAAAAGTTATTTCAATATTTACATCTCTGTTTATATCTGGAACAATTGTACATGTTCTCTCATTATATACAAAAACTTGGGTTTAAAATACTCATTTTAATTATTGCAAAGTTTTGTTATCTACCATCTATTGTAGCAATGAGTTCCAGAGGTTGATTACACTTACAGAAGAAGAAAATGAAATCTAAGACTTCCTGTACCTGTTTTGAAAGTGCAACCATTATTCAACTTCACTGAATAACTAATTAATCTAATGGTAGGAGAAGTGTATTTAAAGTGCAATTAATTTCCTTTATACTATTTATTATTCATATATGTCTACCATGTTCTATTGTATTGTTTAAATGCAGAGACACAGTGTTTATTCTTCCCTGTATAATTTCTCAGTACTCCTAACACTTCTCAATCCACCTGCAGGATTGTCTCTCAGAATACAATGTAGTCCTATTTCATAAACAAATAACACAATATCATTTCTGCTATTCCATTTTCTTACCATGCTTCTCTCACTCTCTGCATTTTCCTAGATTATGCATCACATTTGCAAACTTCTGTATTTAGAGAGTCAAAATGTCCCCTAAGGCTCCATTTCACAGTAAGGGCTCCCACGATGCTCGTCTGATAAATCAAAGTACTTGTACAATACTTGTACTCCTATGTGAAAATGTGAATATTCTTCCAAATTTTCTGAGGAACCAAATATATCATTTTCCATGTGATAGGGAGCTGTATTTTATGCACTCTGAACTTTTTTTTTTTTTTTTTTACCCAGAAACAATACAGCTATGAGCAGATACAGACAATATGAAACACATTCTGTCTGCCAAAAAGAATTTTAAAAACCAAATCCAGGCTTCTGTGATGTAGTTAGTCTATAAAGATAGCAGAAAATTCCCTACTTGCCAATCGTATTATAATGCAATGGCAAATTCCATCTTTTTATGGCGGATCTATCTACCTCACAAAAAAGGTCAACTCCAGCCTACCACGAACAGAAACTTAGGTGAAATATTAAATTAAAATTCTCCTTCTTCTCGTGCCACTCCAAGTGCTCACACCACACTCATGGCACTGTTCACCCAGGAAGGGATGCCCCAGCCAAAGCCCCCCTTCCCACCAGGGCTCCCTGCAAGGTTCACTTCTCTGGTACACAGAGCTACAAATCAGTTTATTTAATGCCCACTCAATACAGTCAGGGACTCCAGTTATATAATACATTATAATAATGTGAAAATTATAAAGCTTTTGGATAAAAATGTAGAAAACTCATGGGCTAAATTGGATTTTTCATTGACAATTATATAACTCATTGCTGGTACAAATCATTAATGAAAACAAGCCTAATTGTTCATTTGATGACTGAAAAGAGTTTCAAGACTGAGGCCACAAAGAATAAACAGGGACCTTATAGGAAAGCTACTACCTGTAGATTTCTGTTATTTTAAAAGTGTACACAAAAACCTGTGCACACTTTGCATGTTTTCACTTCAAGATTGCATCTTTGCTGATGCAGCTCAAAATTCACCTGGTGTTTCTAAACTATGTGTTACTCTTTTAAATTAAGCTTATAATGTTTACCATAAAACTCATGCCACCGACATTCTGTACATATTTACAGTACTTAGGAAGCAATTTGGTATAAACTTTTACAAAAACATCAACATTCTGAACATATTATCCCCAAAACAAGAGCTTCATCTCTACTGCTCAGGGAGAGGTGCCTCATCCAGATTTCATTTGGCTTCATGTCTCCTTCAACTTCAAAGCAATGAAAATGAAAAATAGGAAAATAGCTTTGTGAAATACGAAGCCTTTCAAATTAATGTAAAAGCACAAAATCTAAATCTGTCTTTTTGTACAATCATACCTGCACAGAGAATGAAATCTTTAACTTAGTCCAGGTTTAATTACAACAAAGAAGAATAACAGAGTATATGAAGATGATTACTCATCAACCCAGTATTTTTAATTCAGATCTATCAGATCCTAGCATATTTTGATTGGAAAAAGGAGGGTGAGAGTCCTCTATCTACAAGAGCGATTCAATTCAGGTAACTGGTTGATTAACCTGTGACATATACACACGTGGAAACAAAGCTTTTAAAGGAACAGGATACATGAAAAATAATAAATTTCTATTAAAAAGCTCTACTTAATATGGCAGAAAAAGCTGAAACAAGTTGCCATTATTATTACTACTACCTTTGACACTGTGAATACTATACAGCTTAAAGTTTTACTCTTATTTTTTTAATTAAATGCATTTAATAGGTGTTAAGAAGATAGGTTGTATCCTTGCATTTTCCTGACAGCAATTTATTTTTTAAAAAAGTCTTATCAAAGGCTTACCAAATTTTTTTACCAAGTCAGAGATTATAAGATACTACTTAAATTGTCTTAAAACTTTATATAATTAAACAGAGCTTCATAATTCAAGGAGTCAAAGAGAAAAAGTAAAATTAGAGATAGCTGTTGAAAGCATGGTCAAATCCATCTCTTGAATACCAGATTTGACAATATTTTTGAAAGGTCATATGTGGCAAGCACATTTCTCTCCCTCTCAGGATTTTCATAGAGGTACACAGAGAGAAATGAAAGAGAAAACAATTTCCATTTCTGCTCCTTGTTTTTCCTATGTGGAATGTGTTTGGAGAATTGTTTACCTGGAGTGAGTGCTTGATTGGATTCTGGTGAGGATTGTTTGAGCCTGATGGCCAATCCAACCCACCTGGGCTGGACTCGAGAGAGGGTCACGAGTTGTGTTAGAAATAGAGTCAGAGAAAGTAGTATGTTGTTTTAGTATCCTCCTTTTATATAGTATATTGACGTATTTTAGCATAGTTATAATAAAGAAATAATTCAGCCTTCTGAATTGAGTCAGACATCGTCATTTCTTCCCATTGGTTTCACCTGCATTTACAATATCATATACTTCAAAAAGACCATATGTCTATGAAACAACATGCAATCATTAATAAAAAGTTCAGTCATTGTAAAAACTTCCTACAACTTCACCAGATCCCTCCAAATCCAAATCTCCACATCAATACACTTTAATCTCTATTCTGGAAATGAAGATTGGATTTTACTTGCCATCACCCAGCCACTTGTGAAATGACTTTTGAAGCTCACGATTCCCCTGACTTTTCAGTCTATATGAAATAGCTCACAAATTCACCACATGTGAATGTACCTGGTAGCTCCTGACATGCAGTGTCACACTCTAACACACACACTCCTGTCCCCTGTCCCGTGTCACACACTCTCACACACACACAATCCTGTCCCCTGTCCCGTGTCCCCTGTCCCGTGTCACACACTGTCACACACTCTTACACACACACTCGTGTCCCCTGTCCCGTGTCACACTCTCACACACACACTCCTGTCCCTGGTCCCGTGTCCCCGGCCCTGTGTCACACTGTCACACACACACTCCTGTCCCCTGTCCCGTGTCACACTCTCTCACACACACTCCTGTCCCCTGTCCCGTGTCCCCTGTCCCGTGTCACACTCTCACACACACACTCCTGTCCCCTGTCCCGTGTCACACACTCACACACACACTGCTGTCCCCTGTCCCGTGTCACACTGTCACACACACACACTCCTGTCCCCTGTCCCGTGTCACACACTCTCACACACACACTCCTGTCCCCTGTCCCGTGTCACACTCACACACACACACAAACACTCCTGTCCCCTGTCCCGTGTCACACTGTCACTCACACACACACTGTCCCCTGTCCCGTGTCACACACTGTCACACTCACACACACACACACACTCCTGTCCCCTGTCCCGTGTCACACTGTCACACACACACTGTCCCCTGTCCCTGTCCCTGTCCCGGTCCCTGTCCCCTGTCCCTGTCCCTGTCCCGTGTCACACTCTCACACTGTCACTCACACACACACTGTCCCTGTCCCTGTCCCTGTCCCTGTCCCTGTCCCTGTCCCCTGTCCCTGTCCCCGTCCCTGTCCCTTTCCCCGGTCCCTGTCCCTGTCCCTGTCCCGGTCCCTGTCCCTGTCCCGGTCCCTGTCCCTGCCCCTGTCCCTGTCCCTGCCCCTGTCCCTGTCCCGGTCCCTGTCCCTGTCCCCGTCCCTGTCCCTTTCCCCGGTCCCTGTCCCTGTCCCTGTCCCTGTCCCTGTCCCCTGTTCCTGTCCCTGTCCCCTGTCCCGGTCCCTGTCCCTGTCCCTGTCCCTGTCCCTGTCCCTGTCCCCCCGCGGTTTCCATGGCAGCGGGAGGCGGCGCTGACGCGCGCCGGCGCCCCCCGCCGGTCACCTGACAGGGGCCGGCGGGTCACGTGACACGGGCTCCACCGCCGCCATCTTGCCGGGGGTGAGGCTGGCCGGGCTCTCTCCGTGTGTTTCGGGCCGGCGGCGGGACCGCCCGGGGCCCGCGGGCAGCAGCAGCAGCGGGCGGGCAGCAGCAGCGGGCGGCCGGGTGCCGGGCAGGGCGGCAGGCGCGGTGACGGCGGCGGGCCGGCCCTGGGGCGACGCGCCGCGCCGCAGCCCATGTGCGGAGCCGCGGGCGGCAGCGGCTCCCGGCGGAGGCTCCCCGGGCCCGGGGCTGCCTCCGTTCCCTCCTTTCCCTTCCCCGCCTTCTCCCAGCCCTCCTCCCCGCCCGGCGGGCCGGCTCTTCGGTGCTCTGGGCTGCCGTGCCGCCCAGCCGGGCTCTCCGTGCCCGCGGGGCCGGGCACCGCCGCGCCGCCCTCGGAGCCAGGTTTGCGCTCGGGCTCGGCCCTTCCCGTCCCTCAGGCGCTCGCCCGGCCCGGCATCGCTGCTGGGCTGGGCTGGGCTGCAGCGGCGCTTTCCTGGGGCTGCATCCTCCCCTGCGCGTCCCTTTGGCATCCCCTGGGCACGGCGTTCCCGTCCCCGTGCTGCGTTCCCGTTCCCGTTGCCGTGCGGGCCGTGGGGACAGCGCTCTCGGGCACCTCTGGCTCTGGGGCTGGTCCTGTGCAGGGGCACGAGCTGGACCCGGTGATCCTTGTGGGTCCCTTCCAACTTTGTGATAATTTGTGCGCAGTTCTTACCATCCCTCTAAAAACCAAAGTCTGCAACAGTAGGAATTAAACTCTAAGCAAGGAGTGACATAACACATATACACCATAGTTATGCATCTGGTAACGGGGATCAGCTCCACACATCCCAAATAGAGGTCAAGGTCCTCTCTCTGTTTGCCTTTTTGACATAGCAACAGGATATTTCTTTTATGATCTTCTGTCAAGGATTTTTTTATCTTAGCTGTTATGCTGCTTTCAAGTATTTTCAGGTAGAGAAAATATTTGCCTATTTAGCATTACTTAAAAAGTTTTAAAAGTACTGAAGGTAATTTAAGGTAGCACCATTTTTCCTTAACTCATTTTCCAATTGAAAATATTTTAAGTAGACATTACTCCTTTGAGTGTTTCATTAAATCTGCTTTCAGGGTAAAAAGCAGGTTTGTTGACTTTTCACGATGGTTTTAAAACATGTTATAGACAGTTTGAAACAAACACCGAAGTGTTTTTATACAACTGAATTAGGGTGGGTTTCAAATAATAGTTTCCAACTTGACGTATGTAACATGAGGTGCAGACGATACTAAAAATTTAACATTGCTTATATTGATAGCTGTGATGATAACCTGAATTGTAAGCTGAATGGCAGATGAAGGTAATTTATGTAGTAATGCCCAGAATTTTTCTGAAGTGGGAAAGGGGCAGCACAGACCTTGCTCTCGTGTCTGTGCATTTTAATGCTGTACACTAAATCCACAAGTATAAATTAGTGGATTTCATGGGTTTTTAAGACTAGTTCTGTAAATTCTTATTTGGCTTCTTTAGCTTTCTTGCAAAAAAAAAAAATAAATCCACAAGTGTACTTGGCATAATTTTTCAAGGAGACTGATCCCTCATCTCTTTATGTTCTCAGTTTTATACATAGTATATAAAAATTTTGCATAAAATGTGTGTATATGTAGTGGCACTTAATTGGTTATTTCTAGACATTTTTAGAGAACTAAATTTAAATGTAAGACCTTTTGTCCAGCTCCTTCACCTCCCAGCCCACAGTTCTGCCCACATCACAGAGTTTGTTTTCATGTGCATTTTTGTATATTGGCTTATAATTGGACCTCCAACACTGTCACATTATTGCCTGTGGTTTATGGTTTGATATTTTTAAAGGAGGGGTTAATTGGAAATAGTAACTGCCTGTAGCTTCCCCTCAAAACAGAGAAGAATTGCTCTTTATAACTTTAGTACTGCTTGATTTTCCCTACAATTAAGTAATTGTAGCTGTAATTAATAAGTTTTCTAGAAAATGACATTTATAATGAGAAGTATGATTTGACATTTGAATGGTCTTTAAAATAGTCATACTGAAATGAGTAATGCATATAAATTCCAGAATTACTTTCTTCTAACATTTCAAGGAAAAAACTGCTTATTTTTGAAAATTATATTGTTTGCTTTAGGACCATTGATGCATCAAAGTACATTAGGAATATGTTTTCATATCCTACTGTGCTTTTAAACATCAGTATGCCAGTTACTGTCAATTGATATTTTAATGTTTAGCATTCAAATGTGTAGTGCTTGTAAAGAAAAAGAGAATAGCTGTAACACTGTTATTCAGCTTACACTTGAAAATACTTTTCTTACCTTTGTACAGCTTGGAGGTAGCCTCTTGGAGGCTCTCTTGGAATTATTCTCTGCAGGTGTATTGAAAAGCATCCACTAAATGTCCCCAATATCTTTGGCTATTTCTGTCGCCATTCTGAAAATTTTTATTAGTTTAGTAGAACTGGGCTTCTGTGTTTGGTAGAGAGAGAAATGTAAATAGTACTGGGCTGTGATTTCATTATTGTACAGGTATAAGTCTTTATTTTTATGACCCCCATTCTCCTAGGTATTATGGAAGAAGGAAGCAGCATTGCAGTATTGATGCCAAATATTGGGGAGCAGGAGGCTGTGCTGATTTCTGAAACAGTCATTGGCCCAGCACTGCAGAGCAGCGAAGACCAGAGGAAATGCAAAACTGACCCCCTGATCCACGTTATCCAGAAGCTGAGCAAAATAGTTGAAAGTGAGAAGTCACAAAGGTGCCTTTTAATAGGGAAGAAACGTTCCCATGCCGAGGCTTCTGCGCAGTCCTTGGACACAGCTGAGCTCTGTGAAATCCCAGCTAAGGCCATCGAGCTCTCGGTGATTGCTGCTAAAAAGACTGAAGAGTTGCAAGCAGATTATTTTGTGACTGAATGTCTTCCACCAAGCAAAAAAAAGGTGACGTGCTACCAATGTGGTCTCTGTAATTTTCTATCGCCTTCACTCTTAACTCTACAAGAACATATAAAACAACATGGGCAGAAAAATGAAGTGATATTAATGTGCTCAGAATGTCATTTTGCCTCCAAAAGCCAAGAAGAACTTGAATCCCACTTCCAAAGTCACCATGAGAATGGTGGTAAAAACAGCATCCAGACAAAAGCACAGCAGTGTGTCAATGTCACAAGTTCATTTCTGCAAGGGCCAGTGGAAGGAAGTGTCAAAGCAGGGACTGATCAGACAGGAAATGTGGAATGTAAGGATACAGCTCAGTCTGCTCCTGTGCCTGAAATGGGTAGGAGGAAATGGTACACCTACGAGCAGTATGGCATGTACAGGTGTTTAATTTGCAGGTACACCTGCGGTCAGCAGAGGATGTTGAAAACGCACGCTTGGAAACACGCGGGGGAGGTTGATTGCTCCTACCCCATCTTTGAGGAAGAAAATGAAAACACCAGCTTGTCAGAGACAGTTGTAACTCACACACCTCAGAGTGTGGATACGGTTGTCCTTTCTGTGGAAAACAGTGAACTTGATATCCATAGTGAGCCTTCTCTTCAGCTTCAGATTTGCAATTCTGAGCAGTTGTCGTGTAAATCGCCCCTAGGAACAAATGTGAAAGAGGAAGAGATATTAAGTGAGTCCGTGGTGCATTCTCCTACTACAGAGGTTGTAGAGGAGACTGTATCAGATACAGAACCAGACAATTTGATAACTGACAGCCTGCTTTCATCAGCACAGAAAATCATCAGTTGTAGTCCAAATAAAAAGGGTCATATTAATGTCATAGTAGAACGTTTGCCAGGTGCTGAAGAAAGTGTTTTACAAAAGCCATTCTTAATGAACACTGACATTGAAACCGAAAAAAAATTGATCTCAGAGGAGACCTCTGTTACCTGTGAAGAACCTGCTGAAGTTTATCATTCAGATGCAATTCAAGAAGTAATAATAGAATGGAATAACACCGAGAAGAAAGATAATGAATTAAGCGCTAATAAAAATGTAACAGCTGATGAAAATGTGCCCCCTGCACGAAGGAGGACAAATTCAGAGTCCTTGCGACTGCACTCCTTAGCAGCAGAAGCTCTGGTAACAATGCCAATTAGAGCTGCAGAGCTGACACGGTCCAGTCTCAGGGCTCTGACTGGAGAAGATGCTGTGGATGCGGGTGCAGGGCAGGGAGGAGCTGATGGCCCGTGCATGGCTCATTCTAAAGTGGTGTCCTCACTTAAGGATCCTTCAGAGGAGTTCAGCGGCTTAAACCAAAGTGAATGTGCAATAGTTGAGATAAAGAAAGACAGACCGGAGTTATCAGAAGCACCAATTAAAATGGGCATCAGTATGTCACTGCTCACTGTCATTGAAAAACTGAAGGAGAGGACAGACCAGAACGCTTCTGACGACGACATCCTGAAAGAGCTGCAGGACAACGCGCAGTGCCAAAGCGCGGGCGCTGCCGCGGCGGCCGGGAGCAGCCTGGTGGAGTTCATCCCCAGCGCCGAGCGGCCGTACCGCTGCCGCCTGTGCCACTACAGCAGCGGCAACAAGGGCTACATCAAGCAGCACCTGCGGGTGCACCGCCAGCGCCAGCCCTACCAGTGCCCCATCTGCGAGCACATCGCTGGCGACAGCAAGGGCCTGGAGAGCCACATGATCAACCACTGCAAAGCCCGCATGTACCAGTGCAAGCAGTGCGAGGAGTCCTTCCACTACAAGGTAAAGCTCTTCCCCGTCCTCTCTAGAATCCCTAAATTACCTATTGCTGCTTTTTTCATAACTGGTGATCCCTCTTTCTGACTTATTTCAGTCTGACACCCTGGCTTCGTTGTAATTACCATTAGGGATTATTGCCAGCAGCGCGTGCTGAATGTACAGTTCAACTGTAATTATTCTGCTTTACCCACTGAAATAACCTTGCTTCCTTACATAACGTTTTTCCCTGAGAATTATCTTACAGACATAATATCATGTTGTTTTTCTGCTCACACATAGCAACTGCAAGAAGAAATGGAAACATCAAAGAAACATAGCCGAAATTTTAAAAGAATACTCAAACATGCCTTCCTCTTGTGAGTGTGGCAGCTGGGGGTAACATTGAAGCAGATTTTTTTTTTTTTTTTCCTGCTGTTTTGTAGCTCTGGATGTTCTGTAGAACTTAGATTTGAAAGATTACATACCAGAGCAGAATAATACATTTCTGTCATTTTCCTAATTGCTATTTTAAGAAATTAGTGAGTGAGTTCCTATGCACTCAGCTCAGTACTCAGGAATAGAGAACAGATTGCATCAGTACCCACCTGTACAGCTGAAGTTCTTGGAAGCAGTGGTCATGCAAATTTTCCCACATTTATTTAGTCCTAGTTTGAAAAAATATACAGGTAGGGTAACAAAAGGCTCTCTTCTCTTTGTCCTCCCCAAACAAGTAAAAACAGGACTGGTGTATTCTTAAGTTAGTAGGCAATATGAAAATTGAGTTAATTTTCACACAAGTCCCTAATCTAATACTGCTTTTGGAGTACTGTCATTTTGGAGGAAGAACTGTGGCCACTTGTCTGTGGCAATGGGGAAAGAAGGAAATCTATTTTCTAAATAAACACAAATCATAGAATCCTCTCAGTCACTCTCATCAGTCCTTTTATGTTACTAATCCATGATATTTATTTGTTTTGTTTGCAGTAAAATTACCTAAGGGATAATCTGTGTATGTTAACATGCATTTCATATCAGTTGTCATTAAAACTTGAGTAACAATGTCACAGATGACTGCAGTATTCCAAGTGATCACTGTATGTTTGTAGCATATATTTAAACATTAGGAACTGTTTTTTTCCAGAGCCAGCTGCGAAATCATGAAAGAGAACAACACAGTCTTCCAGATCTGTTCTCTACAGCCACAGCTAACAAACTAATAGTTTCCAATGAAGCAGATGATAGAGAAGGTACTGTTTATGTTTACATTTGAAAGTCACTCATAACATTACTTGTTTGCTGTATTTGTGTAACTGCTTTTAAGATTTCTTATGCTAAAATGTTTTCATGCCTGTTCATAACCTTAAATGTATGTTCTTTCCAGAGGGCAGAATTTACCACAGTCAGTTTTGAGGTGCCGTTTATTGTTAGGTGATATATTTTTAGCCCCAGTAATAAAACCCTTCTTATGACAAACAACTTATGTCCAATATCATTCTGGATTTTTAAGAAGAACATCTTTTTTTCACTCCTTCCTTTCTTCAGCAGCTATAGTATTTTCCAAATGACCTAAACAAAAGAAAGTCTTTTTTTTTTAAGTCACCATGGTAATGTAGTTTACTGTCAGCATATGCATACAATGCCATCCCTTCTGAGTTTAGAAATTTCTGTTTAATTATGGTAATGTCCAAAGTGAGTAATTTATTTTAGCCCTAGTGAGGCAAATGTAAGACATTCTAAATATGCAACCTGTATCTGTAAGAGTTGCCTGGGCAACAGTAGGTCTGCATTTTCATAGAGACATAGGATGGTTTGAGCTGGAAGGGGCTTCAAAGCTCCTCTCTTTCCAAGCCCTGCCATGGGCAGGGACAGCTCCCACTAGACCTGGTTGCTTAGAGCCTCATGTTTGTTTAATTGTGTATCTGCTTCTAATTTAATAGGGTTTGTTTGCAAAACAGAAACAGAAACAAAAGAACAAAACAAAAACAAACCCAGCAAACTCTTGAGGCATTAAGGTAATCAAATAGGAGGAAAAATAACCAAATTCTGATGTTTAGGAGAAAATGCAGCCTTAAAATCCCTTGTGTGTCCTGGAGAGCCACTATGTAACATTGCAGCGTGAATGCATCCTCTTCTCTGGCGAGTACAGCTACTGAAAATATTTACAGCCTTTTTATTTTGAAGGCAACACTGTAATTATTAGCATTTTGCAATTTTAGAGCATTATGGATAAATACTAGTAATTAGATAAGTCTCTGAACAACTGTGAGCTGAAGTATTCCCATTTTGTGCACAAAGCTCTTTTCTGTCCTATCTGTGCTCTCTTGTTTGTTTAGACAGCAAAATGTGCACTCTAATAGTACTTAGGTTGCTGTGGAAATTTCTGGGTTCTGTTCTTTCCTCCACAGCTGCTCAGTGAGTGCAAAAGTTGTTGGAATGGAGGCAATTTCTTGTGAAAAAAGGCACTGACCAGCAGGAGCCAGGGTGGATGGGCAATGGTTTGCCCAAAACAACTTGGTACATGTCAGACCAGAATGAGTTCCCAGCTTTGCCTTCTGCAGCTCACACTGCCTCCTTTTTTGGCTTTCAGTATACAAGTTAAAAGTTAATTACCTTGTCAACCTCAGGTAGAATGACCCTTCCCAGCTCCATTTTGCTCTCATCAATGCAGAAGGCATTTAAATTCAGGAAATTGATCTGTACTGCTCAGTACATCCCCAGGACCTAATCCTGAGAGGAGCCAGGGGAGACAGGGAAATGGCCAGGGAGGGTCTGCTGGGAGTAGGAATGTTTCCTATTACATAGTGGGAGTTTTCTGTAGAAGCAGTAGCCCAGATGCTTTAATGGCAACGTTAGGAAATAAAACTGATACTTTAGCAAGTTACAAATACATACAAGCACAGCTTGGACTGTTACTTCTGACAGTGCTTTGTGTGCTGAAAACCAGTGTTCCTAAACATGCTGTGACACGGGAATAACTACCTTGCAATGCCTGAAATGTGTCAGGTTTGGAGAAATACTGTACTTTTTGAGCTCAGCTCCAGGTAACGTGACTGGTAATGTGAAAATCAATAGTCCTATCTGCTTTTGAAATTAGTATGTTTAATGAGGTTGTTTTACAACCTGATTTTGTAGTTTTATTTCCATGAAAGGGAAGCCTCTGTTGAAGAAATCTGCCTGCTTTCAATTAATTTAGAAATGTTTTTATAAATATTTTTTCTTATTATTACCATATATAAGTGTTCCAGCCATGCACTTTACTAAATTTCATGTGGGTTAAACAATTAATGTGGCTTGAATGAAAACAGTTCTCCTTCTAAACTTTTATTAACTCATACTGTGGAATGCTTAAATTATTTCAGAACCAATTTATAATCAAATTGCAGCACCACTGCAGTACAGCAATCTCTTGTCAAACAGATGTCATCCCTATAAAGCGACACAAAACAAAGAAGTTTATGGCATAGCATCTGTTTATGTGAAAGATGCCTGAGCTGGAACAGTTTCATTTCTTGTCTATGAAATGGTTAGTCCTAAAAGTCTCTTTATTCATCATGGTTGTACAATAAATTAAAAGGAGCATTATGACACTGGATATGATCAGATTGTAAATGTCTAATAATGAAGGAATAGGGTAATAAGCAGCATTACAGGAGCACCTGTTACTGCAACAAAGATCTGACATTTCCATGTTCACTTGTAGGAGACCTGATAATCTCCATCCAGAAAGCAAAACAGGCCCCAAACCCACAAGAAATAAGCCTGTGGAGGGGGTGAGGGAAATGAGTGCTATTTTGTAACAGCAAGAGATTATGTGATGTATTATAATTTATGTGCATTTTGTAGAAGGAATAAATATAAAGTAGTGATTGGTATAAATAATTGCTCCTAAGTGTGTGCTGCTGGGTGTGAGCATCTTAGAATTATGCTGTAGCTAATATGTTTGCATAATGCTTTAAAAATCTCATTAGATACTGTTGGTTTTAAACTGCCTGCCCACTGAAATACCAAATTCATAACAGAAAATACATTTGGAAGCAGTTCATTCCAAAGCTGCAGAATTTAAGATGGAAAACCCCTTCAAGCAGAGCACAGCCCCTGCTCTCCCATGGATGGATCTGCAGCCCAGTGAGTGTCCTTGATCCACTTGAGGTCTCCTACATTAATGTGTTTTCATAAAAGAATAATGCAGAAATATAAATTCCAAAGTCTCCAAGTAAATAATTAGGATTGTTCTGATAATTTTTACATTAAAGGAAAAACAAATCTAATAAATCTTACTCTATGAGCATATTGTAGGAAAAATTCTAATATATTTTGCTTTAAGGTTGACTTGGAAAGAGTGCCTGTTGTATATTACTTCCATATTATTTCTTATAAGAATGCTGAAGAGTGAGCACTGTGTCATGTTTTAAAATGAAATATAGGAAATATATTTTCAGTTATCTTGGTACACACAGAAATATTCCGATTTTATTTCACTGTCTTTGCATTCAGATTGCTATTTTATTTTATATTATATACTATATATTCTTCACAATAACCCTCTGGGATTATCAACCTTACCTAATTACTTTGCATCTTGAACCAAAAGTGCTAAATTTTGGAGTGAAAGTTTAATTAGTTGTAATTTTCCCTTACTATTGAAGCTGTGTGACTGTATTCATCAGAATAATATACCTAGAACTCTTTTTAGCATAATTCAGTGCCTGCCTGTGGGAAAAGAAATGTCTCCTTAAAAGAGTTTTACCATCATGACTCTTAATTGTTTTGATAATGAAAAAGTTCAGCCTAAAAAAAAGTGCATGAGGTACAGCATGATAGGCTGGAATGAGAAAATTACCTGTATAAAAAATGCCATCCCTCTTCCCAAATGTTAATATCTTCACCCAAATCAGTCCCATTATTCAGTGAGGGAGCAGGTACAGGGCTGTTAAAGTGTACACACTTATATCTCAAAAATACCCAGCTGTGCACTGGTGGGCACACATTTTCCTCTGTCAGGAGTCATTAGCCTTTGTCTCTGCAACCATTAATTTTTCAAGAGTCTTTTTCATTCTGGAAGGAAAAATTACTTTTGTTTCAATTGCTTTTTAGTAATTTGGATAAATTCCAAATTATTTATTAAGACATCTGGTCAATATTTTTTTTATCATCTCATATCTTTCTAAAAGTGTTAGTATATGTTGGATGAGAAAGAGGATTTAGAGGCTTTGGGAGGTCTTTTGCTTTTCTTTTCTGTGTTTGCCAGTTTGAAACTCATCCATTCTCAATCACAGTCTTTTCCTTTGATTCGATGCATTCTGCAAAGCACTGAAACTGCTGGGTTCAGCAGTCCCACATATTATCACCTTTTGCTGAAACACAGGAGACTTTCCCCAAATTTTAGTAATCCCTGTAAATGGCAGGGCAAATGCAGAACAGTATAGTAAAATAAACCATACTGTTTATGTGGTTTCTACTCCTTTATTACTTCTGTGTCTGCTGTCTTATTTAATACTTTAAAAGTATTAAATCTTTATCAACATTCAAAACTCTTGCTTTAAAATGTAAATTTGTTTTCATAGTTCACTTGCGATGAAATTATAATCTGAGACTTCCTTACAAGGCTGAGTGCAGCTCTCTGCAGTAATGGATTTTGTTTCCATAGGAAGCAAGTCTTCAGCCCAGAAGCTGTTCAGGTGTGATGTCTGTGACTACACGAGCACAACGTACGTGGGAGTGCGGAACCACCGCCGCATTCACAGCTCGGATAAGCCGTACAGGTCAGTGCTGGCTGCCTCACCTGCCAGCGCCTCTGAACTGCTCAGGCACTTGCCAGAGGTGGTGGTAAAAAACTGCAATTACACTATTTAATTCAAATTACTGAAGGAGACACACTTGCTGGCTGACTCAAACTATGTAATTAAGATTTGGTCATTTTTCCAGAATGCATCTTTTGCTGTGGCAGTCTTCTGCTTGTTTTCAGTTTGAAGCATTCACATGTGGAGAGGAAGATAGTTCTGTTATAATACTGGACTTTGGCCAACAGTAATAATATATTTCTCAAAACACTTGCACACCTAACTTAATTTTGGATTTGCTTTATTGGAAAATGTTCTCCATTGTCACATTACTGCTTTATACATCAGCTGCTACAGAGTGTAACTGTCTGCCCTTGTCACCAAGAGCCTCATATTTTTCACTGGTTTCTAACAGTAGTAACATACTCACTTAGGGTCATATTTTAAAAGTTTTCTACAAGGGTATCATATGTATTTATATAGGAACTTGGGTATCTAAAATCACGTGTAATACTACTGCTGAGGTCCCCAGCATCCTGCATTTTCCTTTTGGTTGCTGCATAAATTCCCCCAAATTCAAGCTGTGCTTATTCAGTGTGGATCTCTGTCCCTCTCTAGTGGCTAGAAAATAGATGTGAGTCAATAGATTTTTTGATCTGATCTGCAATGTAACCTTCAGTCTTTAGTGTAAATTCTAGAAACTCAACACCTTGAAATGCTGAGCCAAGCCAGGGACTTTCTCTTTTGGATAAATAAACCCTGAAGACATGTTGTATTTTGATTTGTGCATTACAATGATATCCCATAATGCTGGCAAAAATTCACAAGGTATTTACTCAGAGAGCAAGCGTGGAATACAAATAGATTGTTTTCTCCTCAGAACCTTCACTATTACCATTATTTATTACTTAGTGAAGTTGGAGCAGCAGATACTGTAGAGTGTCTTGTACGTGGTAGTTTTCAAATTGCTGTTAGCAGCCTGTTTTGATTTAGGAACCCTTGGAAATTTTCCACTGGTGATACAGACTGCTGCATGCTAAATACAAACAGACCCATCTGCCTTGCTTCTCTTATTATTTTTTCATAAACCCCTTAGACAAATCTGAAAACCTGGCAGGATACTTGAGCCACAGTCTGAAAACCATAATGATCCAGTATTTATGGTATTTCTCCTTCTGAAACATGAATTCCTCAATCCTTCCATAGCTTCAAACAGCAACCTACTATATTGCTGCCTATTTGAGAACTGTAAAAATACTTTATTATTTGTTTGACAAAACTTGCTAGGAACTAAGCTGTTGAGCCTTAAATTATATGTTTTTGTAGATTTGATATGTTCTGGATTTTAATACTGCACAATTAAATCCTTTCAAAAATATAGTGAGTATTCTTAGGCTAAGTATGCTGCAGTCTCAAACTGTTTCACACTATAGAACAGACTTTATAACTGGACGTTTTACCATTTCAGAAAGAAAGAAACACCTAAAGTTCAAACAAATACATAAGAATTTTAGCTGAGCTTTGTGGTTTCTGTTTTAATATGGTAGATACAAGAAGGTTGTGAGGTAGTATATTGATATTTATGAATAATAAGGAATTTGTGTAATACTTTGGAATCTAAATCCATGGAACTGAATTTAGATCAAGACTGTTTTATGTGTTGGTTTTGTACAAAGATATTGTGACAGAAGTAAAAAGAAAAAAAATTGAATGGCATGATGTAACACACTTAGGGCACTTAACATGTTGACCGTGTCACTGACTTCTTTTTCAGCAATAAAGCCCTGAAACTTGGTGTTTTGTTACTGGTTTGGCTTTTAGAATGTCATGAGAACATTGCTGGTGCATTAAGTAGAGCATATACTCTCCCCTGCAGCTCTTAGGGTCACATTGTGCCTTTGGAAGGGATGCACCCAGCCACATGCATCCTCACCTCCCTTGCACATCAGGAGAGGGGCACGAGGCAGATTTCAGGAAGAAACATAATCTGTAAGCCTTGTGATGCTTGCTGAAAGGTGGAGGCTTTTTTGGGCTGCAGAGATTCTCACTGCCCAACAGCAGCTCAGCGTCATAACTTGGACTTGTGTAAATCTGGTTAGTCCTCCCGCAGCTGTGGCCTTTGGAGGCACCTTTGCATTCTGGTAGCTGTGGGGTTTGGAGCAGTGCCAGCAGTGAATCGCCAGATCAGTCACTTGTTGTTGTCTCTTCAGATGTCGCGTGTGTGACTTCGCCACCACAAATATGAATAGCTTGAAGTGCCACATGAGGCAGCACCCCCAGGAGCATCAGGCAGTGCAGCTCTTGGAACAGTTCAAGTATGTAACGGGGCTCATGTGGCAAAAGCTCTGGCACCGGGGATCTTGTTACATTCCAGCAGTGTTCAGATCCTGTTCTCTTCCCTCCTAGAGTCATTCTTTGGTCCAGAGTTGTTTGGGGTTGTGTGGGGTTTTTTGATGGATTAACCATGGCATTCCCAGGCTGTGCTTCTGCTGCCTGATAAAACATGTCCATGACTTCCCTCTGGGACACTGTTCAGAATGTGGTGGTTGCACACAAACTGCCTATTGCAAGTAGTTTCTGATCCTTGTGAGTTACCTAAGCATGCCTGGAATTGTTTAGGAGATTGTATGAGCCAAAACCATGCCGTGGCACTTCTAGCATTCAACATTACAGACAGGTAAATTCCAGGATCCAGGAATGTTCTCTGGCTTTCTTTAATATCCCAGTCTAGGCACAGCCTTTGCATGTACGTGTTGGAATGCAGGTTGGCATCACCTAGTTGAGATTTAGTATGAATAGCCATTAAGGGATGAGTGTCCCTTATAGTCTGTCCATAGATTTGGGTGGTTTATAGATATATGAGAAAGTTGGTACGAATATGTGTAATTGTCTACTACTAATTTGTAACAAAAAATAGAAGTTGGGAAGGGAAAGGAAAGAAAATGAGGAGTATTCTGAATATTTCTTAGTGGAAGATTTTAGGGGCAATATGAAAGGTCTAAATAAAGCACACTCACGTAAAGGTTTCTTCTCAAGAAAAGCTGCTTCTACAATTTAAAAGTACTTCCAGTGCATTTTTCCCAAAATGTTCCTAGAAGAATTAAGTTGTATTTGCTCAGCTGTCATACTTCCCACAGTATTGCTCTTGGTATTACCACGGATTATTGGAAACCTCCACACTTTGGTCCCTGATCCCCAAGGAATTAGTCTATCCAAAGCTGCAAGAGAATTGTTTCCTCAGTGTATCAATGTAGAATACACCTGAACAGTGAAGTTTAATAATTCAGCACAAATCAAGCAGTAGGGCAGGTCATGCTATGGAATTGAAAGGCTTCCACTACTAAACTCGGTGGTAAATAATTTTGTTTCTCGGAGATAGCTGAATATCCTGTAAGCATATGATCATTAACTGTAGTGCAGCATACTAACAGCTGTTGGAGTTTCTGTGTCTGATTTGAACTGTATGCTAAAATAGTCAACAGTATTTGGCTCAAAAGATGCTGTTCTCAGCAAAGTAAATTTTATTAGTAAATCACTAGACTAAATTAATGAGCTTCGAAAAATGAGAGTATTTAAAAGGGACTAACAATGGACACTGGGCTGTGGCTTCATTGATTGTGTTCCGAAATCACTGACCAAGCAATGTTAGTGGCACAGAAAATCATATATATGGTGAAACTAGTGGGCACATTAAATGAAATTAAGATTATTTGTTGATCTTTGTGTTTTACAAAAAAATTATTTTGGCTTAATTTTATCTATAAATTAACTATAAGGTCTGCCTTTTTTCTAATGATGTATTTTAATAACAGCCTTATTAGAGATATTAGGATTCCCAATCTGAGAATACACTCACCTATCTTTGAAAGCATCCATTTTCTTTGTAAGGCTCCAAATTAGAAGGAAAAGAGAGAAATAGGATGCCAGAGAAGAGTGAGCTAGAAGGACACACCTGTTGTTCCCCAGTAAGACAGAATTACCTTGCTCCGTAAGCAAGGTAATGTACTGTGCTTTCACCTCACTTGGGAGGTTTTTGCTGTTCTCTGCAATCTTCTGCTGAGCAGAAATAGTTTCTGTGTATGATTATTTGCAGGGCACTTAAGGACTATGCCCTACTGTCATTAAGAAAAGTCATAAAACCTTACTGAATTGTAGTGTATAATGTGGTTTTATGTAGGCCTTCTTGTGCTTCCAGGTTACATTTCTGAAAAGGTCTTAAAAATGTACAAAAACTGACTTGCACTGTGGTAATTTTAACAGATTCCTCATAGTAACACACTGGGATCACACTGCTTGAGCAGAGCTGCATTCCTGGTTATAATTTATTAGCACAAGGTCACCTTTGATTGATTCTGATCTTTTCCATGGGGTTTGGGGAACTGAAGCCTTCCCAAGAAGAAGGCAGCTGAGCAATAGAGCTTTTTTATCCAAAAGACTTAAAAAGACAGATCCTGCACTGAAGTGATGTCATTCAGTATCACTCATCTCCTTCATGCTGAGGTGACTAATTTATCATCTTAAAAAACATATTAAAAAACTTCCTCTGATGTATATTCATGCATGAAAAGGGTTATACAGGATTTGATCAGTCTTGGGTTATTTCTGTCCATAAATATACACTGCATCTCCCTGAATAGGATTTATTCTCTTCAAGGTTTTATTCTTTACTGCATAAGATGGTGTTTTACAGGGAAATAGAAAATTTAGTCTTGTGGTACCAGAGCTGATGGAAAACTCTATGGAGAAAATGATCATCTGTCTGAATCCTGATCTGTGAATATATTCAGAATCTGACACTGTCCTCAGCAACCTGCTGATCCTGCTTGAGGGGCTGGATTGGACTGTGTGACCTCAAGAGGTCCCTTCCAACTTCAACAAATCTGTGATCCTTCATAAACTAATACCTGCTATACCAGAAAATACTTATTTAGTTCAATTGACATAATTAGTGCTAATTACATGGTTCCTGCTTGGTTCAGAGCAATGGCAGAGAGCTCAGCACCTCCCTGCCATGTTTCTGCACTCAGCAGAAGTATTGCATTTCTGCAGTGTTTGAACAGTTTTATTAGGACAAACAGATAAGATTTCAATTCAGTTGTTTAGGAAATTTAAAATAAAATACTAGAAACTTCTCAGACCCTAAAAATAGTCTTACATTTCAGGATGAAACTTTGCAAACTAACATGACCCAGTTATGAAACTGAAAATGGGACCAAGAAGAAGGTTCACATGGATTCCTCTGCTTATTCATCCTTTTGGAAGAACTAAACCATAACTAAACTAATAAAATTTAACTTCTAAATGTTTCTCTTTTTCCTTCTCATTTTTCCCCCAGATGTTCTCTCTGTGGATATGTATGTAGCCATCCTCCATCCCTGAAGTCCCACATGTGGAAACATGCAAGTGACCAAAATTATAACTATGAACAAGTGAACAAGGCTATTAATGATGCAATTTCACAAAGCAGTAGGTATGTCTGATTTTCTGTCAAGTCCTGTTACCTTTCAAAAGATCCAACCCTGACTCAAAATACAGTTCCCATCAAAAAGCAACAGCTGTATTTTTTAATATTTGTTTTGGGTTTTATTACTATTTCAGGTTTCAAGGACAGCTCACTGACAAAACCTTACTAGAAGGCACAGATGAAAGTACAGTACCTCTACTAGGAAGTACAGACAACTTGGTGTCTTTTACAGAGTCCATTAACCAGACTACAAATGAAATTTCAGGTTCTGATGAAAATGAAAAACCCACATTGATGAATACCTCATGCAGCTTAGAAAAGAACTCCACTCTACCCCATCTTGGCACAGAATACTGTGTTCTTCTCTTCTGCTGCTGCATTTGCGGTTTTGAGTCTACCAACAAAGAAAATTTGCTGGATCATATGAAAGAACATGAGGGTGAAATCATAAACATCATTCTAAACAAAGACCACAGCACGGCTCAGAATACAAACTAGGTGAAGCAGTAAGTTAAGAGAGGATTTCCTAGAGTGAATATTTTCTTTTTTTGCTAATTTTTGCCTGAGAAACTTGCTAAAGAGAAGAATTGCAAGCAAAACTTGATTTCCCATCCTGAGTTCTTGTTTCAGTAGGAGTCCAGTGTTTGCACCAGGGACTGATAAATCATTTAAGAGATAAATATAAGGTGTGGAGAATAGAACGATCCATTTTAACCTGTTACTTCTTTATATGGTGCCAAGAATGTAGGATTGTTGGGTTTTTTTCATTTCCTGTCAGGTACTAGTCAGTAATAATGCATTAGCACAGTACTTTAAAACCCAAAGGTGTGAAAGCTTTGAATCACTTGAAAAGCTTTTTTCTTCCTCCCTCTTTTGTTGTTTTCCAAGTAATTCAGCAAAGAAGGTTTTTACCCTCTCTTTTGGAAGATGATCTGGCAACAGATCAGATAGAACTGTTACAATATGATCTGGTAAACCCCCCTGCCTGCAAGGTGGGGTGAGGGGAGGTGGGCCAGGGCATGTGTGTGTTGTATTCACACACAGGAGTTCCATTTTTCCCAGTCTTTTTAAGGCTTTACAAACTCTCAAGTCATTTTCCAACAAAGACTGCCATCCTTTCCCTCAATTTACAGCACCAGGAAGTGAACCATTTTGTTAATAACTATTTGTTTGATTGGATCCTAACTACAAAACTATCTTTTCAACTCATAGTGTGTAACAGATTTTTTACAACAATAACCTGTTGTTTCTCTATGGTTTTTTTGACACGTTCAGATGAATCATTTTAAAAAAGAAAAGCTTATAATGTCACTTTTCATTTGTGGTGATTACTTTGCAGTATGGATGAGCAGTGTTTTTAATGAGAACAAGATATTAACAATAATTGCCACAAAGTGATGTAGATGAAAACTATGTAGATTCCAAAAGATGTAGGTGAGCTCAAATTGGGATTTTCAGAAACGCCTACATGCTTTGGCAATCGTTGAAATGCTACTGGCTGGCCAAATTTCCCACTTGTCTGTCAGAGCTGTAACTGTAGAAATTATGAGCTGAAAGATAATCTTCCTGTAGAAAATCATAGTTAAAAAAAAAAAGAAATTGCAAACAATGTCTTAAGCCAAAACTGTATCCAGTCACTTCCTGAGTAAATTTTACTAGTGCCTATAGTATGGATTGATAAAGGGAATTAGAGATTAATTTGTTGTATAAAAAAACAGGAATCTCATCCTTTTAAAACCTTCAGCTTCTAAAATTACAGCGTGGGGGGGTTTTTGTTTGCTGTTTTTACAGTTACAGGAGTTGGCAGTAGAAGATACTCATCTGTATTTCAATGTGGAATACTATTTCACTGGCTAGTTTCCTGGCAACTTTGTTGAGGTTATTGATTAAGTTGGCTACTTAATTTTTTGGAAGATTCATTAAGTGTAGTATCACTTCCAAGAAGCCCTTTGGCAGCCAGATTGAAACTTCCTAGCTCAGGCATTCCTGAATACAGGAACTGTATTCCTGCTTCTAATGAGTGGCAGGTGCACAGCAGCTTGCCTAGTGCTGCCACAGGCATGCAGTGACCTGGTTTTTAGTAGCTCAGTACTTACAAAGTTCCTCACTCTCAGGAAGACAGGGGTTTCTGCTTCCTTTATTTACACCCTTCTGGCAGCAGCAGTCAGCTGCAGCTGTAAATGTGAGAGGCTGGCACATGGAGTGTCTGTATTGTGCTAGCACTGCCTGGAAGTGGCAACCAGGAAAAGAAAACAGTGACAGAAGTCACAGCTTCATGAAGCAGCACAAAATGTAGAGGCCAGGGTAAAAGCACTAAGACTTCAAGTGTATTTGATATTTGTTTTCAAGATATTTCCTCAATTTGACTTGTTCTTTTGGGTTAAACAGGTATTATTTTGTTTATGAATTAGCAGAAAGTACACATTTGACTTGAAGAATTAGTCAGGCTATAAGGTCAAAGCATTTCTGTGTTGAATTTTTGAGATACTTCACGTTTCTGAAGTAAATTATACATTATTTTCAGTTAATAGTTATTTTTCATATTCCTACAGATAGAATTTACATTTGGAAAGCACATTATTTATTTACATTATCCCAAATTCCAGAGGTAATGGGATATTTTAATGGGATATTCATATTGTCTTACTGACACTGCTATTTTACCTTCAGTATAGAATTAATGTGAAAATACTGCATCATCTGGAATATAGCTCAACTTTCCATTTGTTTGAAAAATCAAAGGACAGTGAGATCCCTAGTAATGCTAAACTACCAGTCAGTATTCACAGAAACAATATTTACCACACTGTTATTTTTGTGTAATTCTGTTAAGTTGCTCAGCTAATGAAAGATAAAAAAGGAAAAACTTGCACTCATAAGCTAAGAAGGAGATGGCAGTGAACCAAAATTTCAGAAGCCAATAATCTCGAATCCAGCTGAAGAGGTGTGGTGTGTGTGGAAGCCACACGTGCACCAGGAATCAGTGGCACAGCATTCCTAAGCAGGATGTGTCTGTTCACAGTTGTTCTTTGCCACCTTGTTGCTCTGTTCTTTTTGACCATGTGTTCCTGTAAAACAGAAAGCCACTTGCCTCTAAAAACCATTATCAGTCCTGACAAATGCCAACAAAGAATTCTTTCCCATATGCACAGAAATTTACTTTTTTTAGCTGTCTCCATGCTGCTTGCAATTAGTTACCCACTCACAATTCCCATGGACTTTGTCAGAAGATCTGCATGTGAAATAATTATAGACTTTGTTTTTCTGAAAGCAATTTGTTTCTCAGGTTATCTGCTTTCGAAAGTGTATGGCTAGCCTGGTTGCATGTTTTGTAAGGGGTTTTAAGCACATTTCAAAGTCACTAACACTGCAAATTTCCCATTTCTTTAAGCCTTTAAACTATTTTTGTCTCTTAGGTCACAGCGCTAGCAGGTGATCAGCTATTCACTTGCTGTTTGTTTAAATTAGATTTTATTCTGTGATACAAACTGTACCTTGCAGCTTTTTTTGCAATGCCTGTACTTCCACTAAAGAGCAAATTTCATTCATACTTGGCTGTACTGAAAAATGGGTGCATATTTCATCTTCCCAATTTATGCTTGACCCGCAAAAATAGAGTGGGATTCAGTCGGAGTTATTGTATTTTCCTCTTTCATAAGCACTTATTTAATCATTTAAAGAAATGTACAGTTGGTGCTCAAAGTAACATTTGTTAAGATATATTTAATAGAAATTTACATTTGCATTTGATATTCATGGACATGGGTACATGTATTTTTTTAAGAAAAGGTATTGTAACACTATGGCACTGCTTTTATAGCCAAAGTATAAAAAAATTTAGAAAACTGACATATAAAGACTGCAGTTAATTCTGATACTGTATCTTATTAAATAGGATGAGTTTTGTTTTATAAAGTTATCCAGCACATTAAGCTGCATGCCTTAAGCTCTCTCTAGGATTGTGTTCCTGATAGGCAACTCTTTGGAAGGATGAAGCAAAGTCTGTAGTACTACTTTAACTACCTTCTGGAATACTGTACAATGGTAGAATAATTTATTTTGCTTTACAGGAGTTTGTCACGTATTGACTTTAATATTGTATTTTGGTAATAAACTTTTTTTTGTTAAATGCTTTAGTCACTTTTATTTGGCCTCTACGAAATATGAATATGGAAAATCCAAAGACTAAACCAGTGTTTAGAGAGAGGGAAATCTGTTTGAGCCAAAAAGTATTTGAAATATTTTACTGCCATTTCTTACTCTTGTATGAAATTATTAGTATTAGTTATTACTAGTTTAAATACTGCTAATACAAGTTTTATCAAAGTAACTGTGGTGAAGAAATACGAAACTATTAAGTCAAAATATTTGTAAGCCTGGATGCAGGTAGGGTGGCACCATGCTGAAGGAAAGAACTGCAAATTCAAAATTCATAATGAAACTACTAGGAATTTTTTGCCTAATTTAAATAAGAGTGAAAGCCTTAAACAGCTTTTTTTCAGGTGATTGACTTTTGCTTTTCCAACACATAGCTAAAATGTATCTTGAAACCTATTTTTAAATATACAGCATATTTCTTGGCCTTGCTGGAGCTTTTCTTCCCATCTTTCTCAGGAAAAAATAAAGTCAGTTGGTGTTGCTGGGGAGAAAAGAGAGAGTATGGCCAGGATTCCCACTGCTGGTATCAGCATGGTTTACAGTTACATAAACAAGCAATCTTTTGCCATTTTCTTGTTGTTATTATTAGGGCCCTGGGCCAAATATGTTGAAATAAAGGCTGGAACTACAAATGGGTTTAGATGCAGCACTACAGAATGCTGTGTCATGCAGCTTTTTCACATCCTCTCTAATACAAAACCTGGGAAAAAAGCTCTTTGTAGTAGGATGTGCCATCCAGGTATTACCCTGTTCACTGGGCTAAAACACCTTCCTCACTGCAGCTGGACAAAGCACAGGAGCCTCCTCAGAAGTTTCTTGTCCCCATAAGTGACCTGGCCACGTGTGACCACAGACTGGACACGGGGCTGGCTGGGACAGAGCACCGAGGGTCCCGTGATGGTTGGAGCAGCCCTGGGAACTGGGAAAAAAGGAGCCAGAGCCCTGGCACACAGCACTGGGATTCCATCACTCTGTCCTACAACTCTGGCAAGTGCTGAGGGTTGGAATTGCTGCAGAAAGCTGATGCACCACAGGGAGCCTTTGTTCTGCATCCCTTGAGGCCTGTTTGGAGAGGAGCTGTCACACCAGGAAGGGACACACCATTAGAACTGATGTAAGGTTAGCTAGCTAATAAATTCACAATTGGTCAAGACAAGATTTTTTTGCCCAAAAGCAAAAACTTCAGGACCCTGACAAGCTTTAAAAGTTGAGAAAAGTGAGAACCCAGAAATTTGCCATATTTGTCACCTACCACACGGCTGCTGAACAGCAGCTCAAAACAGCAGGTTTAGACTTAAAATTTACTGGGGCAGAACTTGAGTCCTCTGCTTTTCTAGTTCATGGTAGCTCTTTCTACCATGCAATCCAAGAGAAAACACAAATAAACTGAATTTAAAGTTTCTTACAACCATTTCCTGTTTGTAGATGTTTGGCATTTGCTGGGATTGTGGCTAACTTGGTGCCAACATGAACACTCTGCTACTTCCATCTAGTTGGAACAGAATGAGCAAACAGAATATTGTTAAATTTCCTTTCGCTATTTTGGCAAGTAAGAAGCCAGCATTGCAACAGTATTATAACAATACAGTTATGATATAATCATCAGTATTATTGATTGCAAGCTACAGTTTGGTGACTTTTAATTTACATTTTATAATACGACTTTTAGATATTAACATCCATCTGGAAGCTCTTTAGTTCTTCTGTATTCTCACACTTGAAACATTAAATTTTTATCAACAGATGTTGCTGAAATAATAAATTGTTTTAGCGAGAATATGTTAAATAATAACTTTTTCCTAGTGCTGCACTTAAACACTTATTGCAACAGGAAATTACTTGTTAAAATATACAGAATTGAGGAAAAAATGCATTTTTTATTTCCTCTAGTATCTAATCTACTGCTATTTGAAACTTGAACAGTAAGTATTAGTATTTCAGACAGAAGGTGATAGCTGAGCATTTAGATACATTAACAACTGTGTAAAGCTGTGTAGCACTTTTATATTACAGAAACTTTTTAGTTCTAATAACACTATTCTGCAGTGTATATTGTGTTAATATTCAGAAATGTCAGTGAGATTTGTACTGTTAGTCCTGTGCATCACTCCACAAAATAGAAAACTTCAGCTGAGTACAGTGACTTAGCACATACAAATCCATTACATCCATGCACGGGGTCATAAAACACAGGAGAATTAAGATAACTCCTCCCTTATCAGGGACTTCTAAAGCTCCTCACCGATAATGCTTTCTAAACAATTTCTGTAACTGCCTGTTCTTGTAAAATTTACTTTGCATTGGCCTCTTTACAAGTAGTGAAGTAGAACTGTTATTCCAGGAAATATCTTCCACAGCATCCCCTTTCTTAGAAATGTAAATACATTATCTGCTTTACACAAAAACCTGCATGCACTCAAGGTGTTTATCTACACTGTAAAATTTCTTGTACATATACAATGTGTTCAACAAGCACATGACATCTAGGATTCAGCAGTGACAAAAGGAAGGTAAATCTATTGCCCATGGTAAGGCACATATTTATTTAGTTTTCATTCTTATTTTGAGCATTCCCCACAAATGTATGGCCTACCTTATTGCTCAGAAAAACCAAACCCAAAACCAAAAGAAGCATGGCCGTAAATTGACTTACAGTAGAAATGTTTAAATATTTTGAGAACTTGATCAGAGGAAGTAAGACAATTCTGTTGATTCTAAAAAATACTTACAAAACAAAATAAGCACAAAGAGCAGATACTGAAAAATTTCCTGATTTCTAGCGTCAATGGCTTCAAACTTCAGAATGATCAGGATGATTGCTACATCATTTTCTTGCTGTCTCTGAGCATACTTTCTATGAATTTCATGGCTCTTCCTGCTTGAAATACTAAGTTTTTCAATGAACCAAGGTTGTGCAATGAGAGGAAAAAAAACAAAAAAAAAAACAAAACCAAAAAAAAAAAAAGTACTGATGTGCTTTAAAAGTGTGATGGAAAATAACTAAATATTGTCCTGAAGAAGTGAACTCTCTCCCCGACAATTCCACAGAATTTGTATGGATTATTGGGAAATCATGGGACCTGGAGTCGGTTTGTTGGTTACAGCTTCATGGGACATGGTTTCTTCTACAATTACTAAAGACAGCGCAAGTAAAACTTACAATCAAGACTAACTGCAGGGGTAGGTCGTACCCATTAAGTAGAACAAAGTCTGGCATTGCCTTCATCTTCCAGCTACAAAAGGTCTTTTCCCCCTTTAAACATTTATGGTGCAGTTAAGCAAGAAATACAGTGGAGCTTACAACGCGTTGAACAGAACACGCAGCCCTAATTTCAATTTTAAAGTCACACATATACAGTACTATACCGGGGGGAGAGCAGTGGTGAGGAATACATTAAAAAAAAAAAAACACTACAGATGAATTCTAGGGCAGTACTTGAGCAAAGCAGTTTTCGAAGCGGGACCCCGTGGGGAGGGTCCGCAGCCCCTCAGCCCTGGGTCGGCGCGGAGCGGGACCGGGACCGTGCCGGGGCCGTGCCGGGGCTGTGCCGCCCTGTGCCGGGGCCGTGCCGGGGCCGTGCCGGGGCCGTGCCGCCCTGTGCCGGGGCCGTGCCGGGGCCGTGCCGGGACCGTGCCGCCCTGTGCCGGGGCCGTGCCGGGGCCGTGCCGGGACCGTGCCGGGACCGTGCCGGGACCGTGCCGGATTTCCGCCGCTCGCCCGCCCCGGCCCGTTCAAACCGGGAGGCAGCCGGGGCGGGGGCCGGGCCTGTGACGGGCGGCTGTGCCCGCCCCGGCGCTCGGTCTCCGCCCGGCAGGGCCGAGCGCCGCGCCCGCCCCTTCCCCTTTCCCTTCCCCTTTTCCCGTCGCTTCCCCTGCCCGTGGCCGCTCGGGGCCCGGGCGGTTCCGCAGCAGCAGCGGCCGCAGGTAGCGGGGCGGGGAGCGGGCGGGGGGAGCCGCGCAGGCCGCGGGAGCCGCGGGAGCCGCGGGCCTGCCCCTGCCCTGCCCCGGGCCTGCCCCTGCCCTGCCCCGGGCCTGCCCCTGCCCTGCCCCGGGCCCGGCTCTCCGCGGCGGCGGGGCCGGGGGCAGCGGCAGCGGCGTGCGAGGAGCGCTGGCACGGCCGGCGGGGCGGGGATGAGCGTCTTGCCTTTGTTGATGAATTGTCAGGTGTGTGCCAAGCCGCTCCGGCAGGACGTGAGCCCGCGTGTGTCCCCGGGTGCGTGGGGAGGCGGCGAGGCTGACCCGCTGCGGGAGCTTCACACGAAGTTGTGCGGCTGAGGCTGTGTCCCTGTGTGTCCCTGTGTGTCCCTGCGTGTCCCGCAGCGCTGCCCGCAGCCGGCAGGTGCAGCAGCGCAGGGAGCAGCTGTTGCTCCGGGCTGGAGCGAGCAGTGCCCCGGGGAGGGAGGGATGGATGGAGGGATGGATGGATGGATGGATGGATGGATGGATGGATGGATGGATGGATGGATGGATGGATGGATGGATGGATGGATGGATGGATGGATGGATGGATGGATGGATGGATGGATGGATGGCACCGACCCGGCCGGTGACAGCGGCTCCGTGCGCGCCCCCAGCCCAGAGCGCCCGGCCGTGCACTGGGCAGGGCTGCCCCAGCTTTGGGCTGGGGATGCTCTCCAATTCTGCGGCGTGGAAAGCATCAACTACTCTGTTAACGCTGCCTCTAGGTTTTTATAACACAAGTGTTCTCTGGCATCATTTTGATCCCCTTTTTTGGGTGTTTCCTGAAAGGTAGGATTTAAATGACTGGCTTCATATTTTAGGCACCCAATTAAAATTGGCTGAAAAAACGATTTTTTCTTTGAAGGGATTAGATTTTTTAAAAAAGGGAGCCTGGTGTGCATTTTGAGTCAAGGGCTAAAAAACTGAGAGCAGTCAAAATAACGAATCCTTCTGAAAACCTATTCAAGAGTATGTAAAATAGTGAACATTAGTCTTTATAATTCGAAGATA